AAGGAATTAATTTGTTATCCCAATTTAAGTATGAATTAAAAATGTTACATACCAAATATAAGAATAATAGGAAAAGTGCAATCAATTATTTCATCGAAAACTTATGAATTTATGTATAGATTGATAGATGTATGCCATGACATGAATTAAAAATGTTACATACAAAATATTAGAATAAGAGGTACAATCAAGTATTTCATAAACAAAAAAACAAAACAAAAAAACCAAAAAAAACCCAACATCAATAGGCATTATGTAATGCCAGACTGGGCAAGGAGGTAAGTGAGTGCTCGAGAAGGTGTCGTGATCATGATAATAGAAGTAGTCAGAGGCACACTGGGCAATAGGGGAGGGGGTAGGGCAGAAGAGGAAACGGATATAAAAAAAATGACTATGAAGAGTTGAAATACGTTCATCAGAGCCAAATTTGAAGAGAGGGGGAAAAGACCAGGTAATTGTTAATATTTTGTGACCGGTACTGGAACTGAAAATACATATAGTAACGTGCAGGCACACACACACACACACCCACACACACGTTCATACATGCTCGCGTTAGCGATCATAAATTAACTTACACAATGCTAAGGCTCAAATCAAAATAACGTGAACATTATCACTAGGTCTCATTATGTAGTGGAGTAATTCCATTGGTATCTGCCACAACCAAATAGTGTAAAAAAATATGTACAAAATAGACTCATATAGTGGATTAGTGGTGAGAATGATAGTTGAAAACATGGGTACTACTACATACAAGATTCTATTAACCGGATTCCGGAGGATCCGGTATACAACTTAGGTATAGGTTTGCAGTGTAGCAATATATAGCAAATGTATAGCACGCAGAATTTATGCATTTTTTTTTTTAAATAAGTAGTAATAATAATACAAATAATTGTAGCGTTAATGATAATAAATAAATCGACTCAAGGGGGATAAAATCAAATAGGTACTACTACATTCAGGATACTATGATGCTGGATTAGCCGATAACACCCAACTTACAGGTTTTGGTACAGAAATAAACAATGTAACAGTACATAGCATGATATAAAGCAATTCAACATGTAAGAATGTCATAACCAAATTTAAATATTATGTTAGGATAGTAGTTCACTATCTGTTAAGGCCATTAGTGTAAAATACGGACAAAAAATCATAAGACACAAATTGGTTTTTGGTTACACTAACGTGTACATTTTACACTGTTTATGGAATCTCTATTGAAATAATGATAATAGACATATAAATTAATCGACGCCGCTAAAATGGGTACTACTACATACAGGAATCTATATACCAGAGTCCTGAGAAGCTGGTAACAGCTTACGTACAAGTTATAAGAACTGATATTCTAGCTTGCGTATAGGTCTGATATATATAAATAAATAGTGTAACAATACAGAAATGAAAATCAAATCAAGGTAACGTATATGAAATATCATTACCACATTTAGTTGTTAGAGTAATTCCACTATCCGTATCTGACACAGTCGATAGTGTGAAACACGCGCAAAATAAACTTATTGAGATGAAATAGAAGATCATAAAACTTGATGATAAATACATGTACACTTCCACGTTTCACAGAATCACAATTCACAAGCAAATATTTAACTAAAGTAGGATATGATCAATATTGTGTCTACCTGATGCCAGTACAGCTATGCTCCCTATGCGAATAACCATGCTGTTCAAACGTCCATAGGTCGACCTCTCTTTGAGCTAGCAGCTTCTCAACGGCTAACCTTACGTATTCGTCTTCGTTAGATCTATGTCAGGTGATTTTTTTTTCCATATGTGATATCTAATCCCACTCTAGTACAGATTTGAAACTAATATACACATGTCAGCAGCAGGTCAATGGTGCATATTGGTAGTAGCAATTATAATACCAATACACCATAAGTATGGCATGCAAATTCATGCATGTAAATATATTTGTTTTGAGATGGTAGCCAATTCGGTAAATATTTTTTTCAAGCCTCATTGGCGTTGAGAGTGATTGTTGTTTCAGTATACGTCAGCCTGCAAGCTTACCATACGTCTTGTCACTAAATACGCAGTGGACTATCATTGCGATCTCGATAACATTAAATCAGTTACAGGATAAATGCTCATGTAATCAAGTTTAAGGTGAAAGTGCATTGCATGTAGCTCCAAGTGCATTGATATGTTGTTGGATACGATAAAATAATCAAACAGGTATGGTAAACATGTAGAATGTCGCATAAAACCTCCACACCTTTACACCGCCCTAGATAGTAACGATATCAACCAATAACGTTAAACAGTACACACCCTAATCCTGAACTCTGTAATAAAGGTATCAGAACGTAACGGGTTTGAACGCTTCAACTTTACCTTTGTCAACGACAAAATAAATTAAAAAAAATCTAACACTGTAACTTCGCTTTCAACGGTAAACATTCACAGTTATAACCTCCCCACCTTAACCCCGTACTCTGTAATAAAGGTATCATACGTCACAGTTATAACCTCCTCCCCTTAACCCCGTACTCTGTAAAAAAGTATCACACTTCACAGATATAACCTCCCCACCTTAACCCCGTACTCTGTAATAAAGGTATCATACGTCACAGTTATAACCTCCTCCCCTTAACCCCGTACTCTGTAAAAAAGTATCACACTTCACAGATATAACCTCCCCACCTTAACCCCGTACTCTGTAATAAAGGTATCACACGTCACAGTTATAACCTCCTCATCTTAACCCTGTACTCTGCAATAAAGATATCACACGTCACAGTTATAACCTCCTCACCTTAACCCCATACTCTGTAATAAAGGTATCACACGTCACAGTTATAACCTCCTCACCTTAACCCCGTACTCTGCAATAAAGGTATCACACGTCACAGTTATAACCTCCTCATCTTAACCCCGTACTCCGTAATTAAGGTATCGCACGTCACAGTTATAATCTCCTCATCTTAACCCCGTTCTTTGTAATAAAGGTATCACACGTCACAGTTATAACCTCCTCACCTTAACCCCGTACTCTGTAATAAAGATATCACACGTCACAGTTATAACCTCCTCACCTTAACCCCATACTCTGTAATAAAGGTATCACGTCACAGTTATGACCTACTCACGTGCATCCTGAACACAATTCAAAGAAGCGGTTGTCAATATGAATGGCGACAATGCCCAGTCCGGATTCCTGGTAATGGTTAAATGTAAGGATCTCAAACGTATCCAAAGTGATTACTTTGTCTGGAGTAGTGTGATAAGACCTTTGGGCCTATTTTGAGTGATTGGTTGAAATATGACCGATTGATTAAAATAATGTATAATATGTGGCAAGACCCTAGTAGCNGTAGCCCCCCCCCCCCCCCTCCACTCCCAATAAAAAACCCTCCCAGAACGACTGATTTGGATTCCTCAAAGTCCACTTTGAACGATACATTGTTTCCGCAATTAGCAAAGAGCACAAAAGCAGCATAAACGAGTTTCCCGCCATTTTTTGATAAGATAAGGCGACGGTACCCAAATCGGTTCATCAAATCATCACTTTATTCATTTACTGAAAATACTGAGGATAAATTATGTTCATTTTTGGTTTTATCAAAGGAAGAATATCGATGGGTGTTCTTACAATAAAAATAGCACCCGGGGCTCACGCGATTTTTTTTTTTATTTTAGAATGAATGCTTGAATTTTGCAGTATCTTACGCTTCAAATGATTTTTTTTTGTCAGCGTATAAACATTTTATGATGGCCTTTGGAACTTATATGAAAACAAGTATTTCTATAGGGTGAATTTATTCCTGTAGTCCAAAACAGATGGCATGGTCGTCGCACGCGCCATTTTCTAAAAACGTAAACAAAACACTGACTTTTGAGTTTGAATTACGTTTTCTGACGCTATTTGAACTTAAAAACTAATCATCTGTAATCAAAAAATGGTGCATGGCTATCTATTCTAAGGTTACATCACTGTAATAGCTGATCTGTTGACACATTTATTGATTTAACAGTTTTTTGGCAAAAAGTGATCCGATTTGGGTCCTGTCTCCTTATATAGACAAATTTCTTCTGAAAATCTCCATGACATCATGCAAATTTTAATGCGCAGTAAAACATGTCATAGACCACGATTCTTAATAAGAAAAAAATGCTTATTTTTTTTTAGCATTGGTTTTGTCCAGAAAAACTGTCATCAAATGGTCATGTCATGGTAGTTATCTTTATCAAAATAATTCAGTAATCGGTCTATCGGACAAAGCACATTTTACATTTTCCAAAATCATTGACCATTTCTTGCTCTTTGGTAAAATTTCTACGAAGAATCATACACACAGAAAGGAATTTTTTTTATACATTTTTTCGTCATTTTTAAAATGCAAATTGCATGAAATGAATAGGCATATCTGTTCATTTTGGACTTAAAATAACATTAAATTAGCTCTTTCAGTGGTTTTATTGAAGTTGTTCCAGTTTATTGCGTGAAAGCAAGTTTGATAATGGGAAAGTTAAAGTTGAAAGATCTATGCATTTACCTCATCTTAATCATGTAGAGCATCTGAAAATTGCTTCATTGAGATGAAGTAGTCTTTTCTATCGTAAATTGCAACGAAATCCATTGATCTTCAACTTTAGTAATTCAATATTCATTTCAATGCAGTGATTCCGATACATCTTTTGGAAAAGTCATATTGTACGTTAGTTGTATATATTTTTTTTCAATATTTTTCACAAGCGTTGGATATCGCTGACATTTCAAAAATTGGTCACTATTAAATAGGAGTGGTTTTTATTTGTTATTGAGCTATTTAAAGGGAGATTCACCCTATCGCGAAGGTAGAAGGCAATCGTAATCTATTTACATGAGTATAAAAAACGAAGAAACGTACTTTGATGTTTAGCTCAGTGGTAACTCAGTGGACTAACTGTTAACCTGAATAAGGCTACGACAAAAGGAGCGAAAGGAGTATCTTTTTCACGTTGGTGATTCTGATTTTTAAGGGTATGAATGACTAAGATGAAACATTATTTGCACGAAAATGGAAAAAGATGACCAATCAACCTCACAAGGTAGGCTAGGTATCACAAGGAGATTAATTGCAGTTTTATTTCCTAATAACACAAACAAGGGTGAAAGAATGTAAATTTATCATATTTGATCCTTTTCATAGTTTCAGAAAACTCACTTGTTCACCAAGTGCACATGATGAAGGTATGTGTTGCTGTAGCATGTTGCGCCATAAAGCCAAAGAACACACCCGTCCGGACCTTCACGGAGGCTCTCGGTACTGCATTCCACAACGCTAACCGGCAACTTCAGAACAAGCAAACGTCGTTGGAGGCAGAACTCCTCCACCTGCGTCAACAGATCGCTATGGGTTCTATGTCTTCACAGGAAAAGAGCCATGCCCAGCAGGACGTGTCACAAGGTAAGGCAAAGCATCGACTGGTCTACCACAATGCCATTGTATTTGGACATATCACGGACTGATTCCATAGTTTTTTCATCAGCACTATCGTAAGTTTAACTAGTTATAATTACCATTATGTTAGATTTCGGTTTATGTCGGTCAAAAGCTCTATAGAGCTTATGTTATTTGTTTCAAAATGCCCACCCACTTTAAAAAACTTATCTTAAGTATTTTTGTGTAACAAATATGTTTAAATGTTTTTGAAAATGATTATATCTTGTTTTTTATTTTGTTCTCAGCTGATGTTGAAGTTTTGTTACCTACCCCACCATCGTCTGGCACAGAGATGCATGATGTGACCTTAGTGGAGAGGAGAGACTTTGACTCTCTCCATAGAAACACACAGTTCCTTCAAAGTGTCATAAACTTACAACAGGTCACAAGGCAAGCATCAGAATTAGAGCGACTCAATGTTGGAGATAAAATTGCCACAAATTCAGAGAAAGATTATTCATCTCTGGAAGTAAAATTGAAATCGATGACTAATTTAAATCACACAACTATTGTCCAAAGCTTACAGACAATAAAAAGATGTATACAGGATAAGACATTCATGGTGTCTGTAAAGTCCCTACAGCGTTGTATACAGTGTATAGTACAACTGATGGACCGGTTACCTGACCTCGCATCCAACATACCTATCGTCTCCCTCATCAAGGACATAGTTAAAAGTCTGGTGGAGGACATACTCAACATCCAGGAGGATTCTTCCCATACACAGGTACGGGCATTAATGGTTTGAGTTTTAAAAGCGAGTCATAAGAACGGACCAAATACAGACAAAAATTTAATTGCAGTAGAGTAGATGATTTCCATTATGTATAAATACTTTCTCATTTGGAAAACGACATATGCATCAAGACTAGAATTTAGATACCTTTTCCATGTCTTTTTGATGTTCACTTTTCCCCCTATACAGTACATGTACTTATTTTGGAAAAAAATCATATCCTTTCAGCGAAATAGTAGACAGCAAAGTATAGATCTGGTTCTTGAGTTCTCAAAACCACCAGTAACAAGAATTTCTCAGGAAGTTATGATGGAGGAAATCCAAAGATTTTCACAGCATTTACAGGATGTTTGTGTCAATGGCAAATCGTTGCAGGTATCCTGGTTCGAAAACATCATATTTGTCATCCAGCTCCTGCAGACTGTGTTGGATGAATACTACAGTAGCCATGTGACCAAAGACCGTGCCATGTTACAGGGACTGAAGGACAAATTAGAGGACTCACTTCTACACGTGACACACACATTCCCACTGTACGCACACTCCATATGGAACATATGTGGACAGCTAGAACTGCAGCTATGGAAAACAACTAGTGTTTAAAATGGTACTGCTAAGGGACACAAGGACATTCTGTTGAAAATGTACTCTACCCCCAAGTGACAAATTGTTTTAAAGGGACAAAAAGTTCCTCTCATAGGACAAAAGATGTTTAACCTTTGGACAAAAAAGCTATTCCAATGGGATGATTTGGCAATACTTAATAGGACACAAAGGCGAATTGATATCTTATGAATTAGAGACTATCAATATTTGTACATAAATGCATGTAAATATTATGTGATGTTGAATTTTCTATAATGTCATCAGCACAAGTAAAATATTGATTAAGAGTCGATCACTTTGTGTTGTACGCAGAGTAATAAAATTGAGGCCAGGCTTGAGGTTTTGCTGAGTGATGACCTTCAAAAATCTTATCCTAGACTGTTATGTTTAATTGGCCTTTCACAAAACTGCTTTGTGTACATAGACTTCTGCTAAGTAGCTACATAAACGTCCGTGTTCTTTGTCTTCACGTTTTGTGAAATGGGTCTAATATTATAATGACACTTCTGTCTAGTACCATCTGACAAAACAATTATTTTGTACAGCATTTCAAGTAAAAATGTGATAAATATGGAACATAACTCATACTTATATTTCAATATCTTTATTTTCTCAATGAAAGAAGTCAGTGAAAATTATAATAATTGTATAAAAACATATCACATTTATAGAAATGAATGGTAATGTAACAACTAGTGGTAATCACCTGCATAATGCCTGGCATCAGAATTACAAACCTGTCCGTACTGGAGTGAAGAGCTCAGTGATAACTACACTTGGACACAAACCTGTCCTTACTGGAGTGAAGAGCTCAGTGATAACTACACTTGGACACAAACCTGTCCGTACTGGAATGGAAGAGCTCAGTGATAACTACACTTGGACAACACAGTACTTTTTCTTGTGGGAAGTAAATAAGAATCAGATTCGCTTTAATCAAATTTAATAGCAAATACAACATTTTCATTAATCAGAAACAAGGAAAAAGATTATTTTTAAATTGTTGTGGAAACTACTGGCTCCACCTGCATAAGAATATAAAATCAAATTGTCTTCCAACTTTTGTTCTTGAACGAATTATATAAAAATTATAAAGGTGATTATATAAAACATAATTTCAAACCATTTTTCAAACATGTTATAAAACTGAAAAAAGCTTAATTGTATCAATGTCAGAGTGTACATACACCAATTTTGTCATCCTGGTTCTATTTACTGTGAAGACAAACAAACACAACCTCTTTTTGAAAGATATTGATCAATAACAAGGAGCGGCTGCAATTATCACTTGGCTTAACGTTAGCCACAAGGGAGACAACTATTTGTGGATTAAGAAATCTGCTCTTCTGAATTTCGAGATGATAGTAACAAAGCGAATAAAATATGTAAAAACAACGACACAACATGTCCTACTCTCATGTACAGCAATCATAACAATAAACTACATTTACAGCAAGAGGCCCAAGGGCCTTAGCGGTCACCTGAGTTATATCATAGGTACTGGTAGCTTTATTTTATTGTTTAGATGTGATGAGGAAATCAGAATGTAAACTAAGTGAAATACAATACTTGTCATATCATCAAAGGATAAGAATTTGAAAATATTGGTAAATGTTCCCTTTGGGGCCCCGCCCTAGCCCCTGGGGATGGGGCAGGAATCCCAATTTTCCAAAGTAATACTCTCATTCACCAAAGATGATTCTGACTAAGTTTGAGTAATTTTCTGCTGAAAATGGATAAAATATATACCCAAAAGTGTTATTTCCCTATATAAACTATAGTAAACTTTACCCCCTCCCCAAGGGAGAACGGATAGCTCGGGGGTCCTGAAATTTACAATTTAAATAAAGCCCCTGATGATCTTTCCATCCATGCAGAGAAAATGACTGTAATACCTCTGAGTCTGGAGAAGAAGATTTTTGAAATATTGGTTAATTTTCCCTTTTGGGCCCCGCCCTGGCCCCTAGGGTTGGGGTAGGAATCCCAATTTTACAATTTAAAACCATCTTCCTCCTCCAAGGATGATTCTGACCAAGTAAAAATAATTTCCAACAGAAAATTGTCAAAATATACCCAAAAGTGTTGTTTCCCTATATAAACTATAGTAAACTTTACCCCCTCCCCAAGGGAGAACGGATAGCTCAGGGGTCCTGAAATTTACAATTTAAATAAAGCCCCTGATGATCTTTCCATCTATGCAGAGAAAATGACTGTAAAACCTCTGAGTCTGGAGAAGAAGATTTTTGAAATATTGGTTTATTTGCCCTGGCCCCTAGGGTTGGGGTAGGAATCCCAATTTTACAATTTGGTATCCTCATCTACCAAGGATGATTCTTACCAAGTTTGAAAAAATTCCATCCACTGGTTCTTGAGAAGAAATTGATTATGTAAAAGTTTACGCACGACGGACGACGGAAAGTGATTGGAATAGGTCACTTGAGCAAAGCTCAGGTGACCTAAAAACATCACAGAAACAAACTTCATTTACAGAAACGACAAAGAAGCCTTGCCTATAAACTACACTTACAGAAAACAACACAGAAACACGGGTCTATAAACTACATTTACAGAAAACAACACAGAAACATGGGCCCATAAACTTTGCTCTATACATCAAGAAAAAAAACCCATTGGTTACAATATTCGACTTAAAAACACACTGCATTTACAGACATACAAGGGACATTTTAGTTCTATATGAAGTTAAGTATTTTTTAATTGCATAATATTTTACATATCTGTTGGCGGACTGGAAATCAAATGTGTCCTTTGTTCTATTGCTACAGATGATCAGAAATGATTGTTTTATATACGTGAGATATGCGTTACATTTTTACATACAAGTGAGATAATAATATTTTCAGTATACATTTGATACTAAGAACACATGTTTAAACACTCTTGGAACATATGATATAAACTGAAAACATGTTCACTATATATCACTAAATTTTCCTTCATAATTATTGAATTTTCATTAAAAACTATTTTAAGACGATCAGAAATTGGTTTCCTGTTATGTGTCTGTAAAAAATTTAACAACAAACTTGAGTTCTAATCTACTATCATCACAAAATTTGCAAAAACAAATCTTTTACCCAATTTGAGTGATTTCTAGTTGGCGAAGAAGCCCACTTTATATTTTGTTTAGGATGAGGTACAATAATCAGGTAGAGTATAGTAGGTACATTATCACCCAGCAGCCTGGTTCTGTTCCTCACTGGTATTTTATATAGCTAGTCTACATTGGTGAACACAAAGTTGTCTGGTGCATACCTAGCACTGTTGGACTAATGGAATCGATACTTTCTAGCCGGTTTGAGATTCACATAAGTTTTCTTCATATCTTCATCTTCATCCTTCTTGACTTCAGTGAATTTTTCACCTTTAGTCGTAACAATTTTGTTCTCTAGGTATCGTACCATCTTCTTTGATTCCTGAAACAGATCGATACATGTTTATTCAAACACACAATTATGTTGAAAATGAAGAATTGAAAGGAAATTGTAACGAGGAGATTTGATTTCAATTATGGTATTGCTTACAGATGACAAAACTGACAGGGTGGGAATAAATTTGCACTTACAGTTTTTGGTGCAAGAGGGTTGAAGGTTTTCTTGTGCTCATCAGCGTCAACATAGGAGTACCTGCAATAGATAGAGACATATGGGTTCTTATCCTACAAAAAACAGTTACAGCACTTCATCAAACACAAATAATTCTATTTTATTGCGTAACAAACTTTCTAACAAGTGATGGGGACATTCCTGCCTGTACAATAAATATATTTCGTAATTTCAATCATCAAACCTATGAAACTTAATTAACTGTTACTTAATACCTGGCTATCAGAGTCTTTTTGAGATCCTTATCATCAAGTACTGATACTTTTGTCTTCTTCCTCATCTTTTCAGCCACCTAAAACATATAAATATACTTGAAGATATGCATGCTGTATAGTCAAGGTCTACATAAGTCTGCCTTGAGTCAGCTGTATAGCACATAGTCCCCTGTATGTCTGTCCTGTGTCAGCTGTACAGCCCCCTGTATGTCTGTCCTGTGTCAGCTGTATAGCCCCTTGTATGTCTGTCCTGTGTCAGTTAGATAGCCCTTTGTGTCTGTCTTGTGTCAGCTGTATACCCCCTGTATGTATGTCCTTAATCCGAATTATTCTGATGTTTTATCGACTGTTTTCATATCGGTCTGTCGTCGATTAACGTCAGAACTCCAGCCCTCTATAATATGCGGGAAATATGCGACCCGCGCCCGGAGCGCACTTCAAACTGATATTTTAGAAACAAATCGTCACTTTCACACACATGTCACACATGGATCGAAAGATCTATTCTTTATGCACTAGGTGGTATCAATAACATGTTTCAAAGATCATTACAAAAAGTATTTTCCAACGTTTTTTATACTAACCCATGTTTTTAATGGAAATTAGGCCATGAGCAATGTCACATGACTTGACGAGATCTCGCGTTACCGAAGGTATTTCCCAACGTTATGACGTAGGCTGGCGAGATTTTTTGTCACGTGGCATTAGAAGGCGGGGCTATCAAAAAACTCGAGTAAAGCAGAGTAAGTTTGAAGAAATATGTTTTTAGTGATTGTATTGGTTGTTTGAGGCATATTATGTATGTTCATCTTGTCCATAAAGAATAGATCTTTCGATTCATGTGCGACATGTGTGTGAAAGTGACGATTTGTTTCTAAAATATCAGTTTGAAGTGTGCTCCAGGGGCGGGGCGCATATTTCCCGCATACCATAGATGACCGGAGTTCTGACGTTGATCGACGAGCGGACCGATATGAAAAAAGTCGATAAACCGTCAGAATAATTCGGACTAGTCTGTCCTGTGTCAGCTATATACCCCCCAGTATGTCTGTACTGTGTAAGCTTTATACCCCCTGTGTGTCTGCCCAGTGTCAGCTATATACCTCCTGTATGTCTGTCCAGTGTCAGCTATATACCTCCTGTATGTCTGTTCTGTGTCAGCTGTATTGCCCCTGTGTGTCTGTCATGTGTCAGCTTATACCCCATGTGTGTCAGCTGTATACCTCCTGTAGGTCTGTTCTGTGTCAGCTGTATACCCCCCTTTGTGTCTGTCCTGTGTCAGCTATATACCCCCTGTGTCTGTCCTGTGTCAGCTGTATGCCCCCTGTATGTCTGTCCTGTGTCAGATGTATACCCCCTGTTATCTGTCCTGTGTCAGCTATATACCCCCTGTATGTCTGGCATTTGTCAGCTGTATACCCACCTTTGTGTCTGTCCTGTGTCAGCTATATACCCCCTGTGTCTGTCCTGTGTCAGCTGGATACCCCCTGTATGTATGTCCTGTGTCAGCTATATACCCCCTGTATGTCTGTCATGTGCCAGATATATACCCCCCTGTGCATCTGTCCTGTGTCAGTTGTATATCCCCTTGTATGTGTCTTGTGTCAGCTGTATATCCCCTGTAAGTCTGTCCTGTTAAGGCTGTATAGCCCCCTTGTATGTCTGTCATATGTAAGCTGTTTACCCTACTGTATGTCTGTCCTGTGTAAGCTGTACAGCCACCGGAGTCTGTCCTGTGTCGGCTAATACCCCCTGTGTGTTTGTCCTGTTTCAGCTGTACAGCCCTCTGTGTGTCTATCCTGTGTCAGCTGTACAGCCCTCTGTGTGTCTGTCCTGTGTCAGCTGTACAGCCCCCTGTGTGTCTGTCCTGTGTCAGCTGTACAGTCCCCTGTATGTCTATCCTGTGTCAGCTGTACAGCCCTCTGTGTGTCTGTCCTGTGTCAGCTGTACAGCCCCCTGTGTGTATGGCCTGTGTCATTTGTACAGCTCCCTGTGTGTCTGTTCTGTGTCAGCTGTAAAGACCCCTGTGTGTCTGTTCTGTGTCAGCTGTACAGCCCCCTGTGTGTATGGCCTGTGTCATTTGTACAGCTCCCTGTGTGTCTGTTCTGTGTCAGCTGTACAGCCCCCTGTGTGTCTGTCCTGTGTCAGCTGTACAGCCCCCTGTATGTCTGTCCTGTGTCGGCTGTATAGCCCCCTGTATATCTGTTGTGTCGGCTGAACAGCCCCCCTGGATGTCTCTTGTGTCGGCTGTATAGCCCCCTGTATATCTGTTGTGTCGGCTGAACAGCCCCCCTGGATGTCTCTTGTGTCGGCTGTATAGCCCCCTGTATATCTGTTGTGTCGGCTGAACAGCCCCCCTGGATGTCTCTTGTGTTGGCTGTATAGCCCCCTGTGTGTCTGTCCTGTGTCAGCTGTACAGTCCCCTGTATGTCTATCCTGTGTCAGCTGTTCAGCCCTCTGTGTGTCTGTCCTGTGTCGGCTGTACAGCCCCCTGTATGTCCTACCTGTGTCAGCTGTACAGCCCCTGTATGTCTGTCCTGTGTCAGCTGTACAGCCCCCTGTGTGTCTGCCCTGTGTCAGTTGTACAGCTCCCTGTATTTCTGTTCTGTGTCAGCTGTACAGACCCCTGTATGTCTGTCCTGTGTCAGCTGTACAGCCCCTGTGTGTCTGTTCTGTGTCATTTGTACAGCCCTCTGTGTGTCTGTCCTGTGTCAGCTCCCTGTATGTCTGTCCTGTGTCGGCTGTATAGCCCCCTGTATATCTGTTGTGTCGGCTGAACAGCCCCCCTGGATGTCTCTTGTGTTGGCTGTATAGCCCCCTGTGTGTCTGTCCTGTGTCAGCTGTACAGCCCCCTGTATGTCTGTCCTGTGTCGGCTGTATAGCCCCCTGTATATCTGTTGTGTCGGCTGAACAGCCCCCCTGGATGTCTCTTGTGTTGGCTGTATAGCCCCCTGTGTGTCTGTCCTGTGTCAGCTGTACAGCCCCCTGTATGTCTGTCCTGTGTCGGCTGTATAGCCCCCTGTATATCTGTTGTGTCGGCTGAACAGCCCCCCTGGATGTCTCTTGTGTTGGCTGTATAGCCCCCTGTGTGTCTGTCCTGTGTCAGCTGTACAGCCCCCTGTATGTCTGTCCTGTGTCGGCTGTATAGCCCCCTGTATATCTGTTGTGTCGGCTGAACAGCCCCCCTGGATGTCTCTTGTGTCGGCTGTATAGCCCCCTGTATATCTGTTGAGTATTATGTGTATTGGCCCTTTTGTACTTGTATTTTTTTTGTACTTCTAACCTCTGTGATACTCTCCTCAGTCTCCTGTCTGTCCAAAATCAGCTGTATGGCATTTTCCATGTCTCCACTGGCAAGTCCAAGGCAGTGAGTCACCTCCATCGTGCAAGCTGCTGGAAACATTTCCTTTAACATTTTGATTTCATCACACTCCTTCTCTGCCTTTTCCTCTCTGTTGTTTTCCTGTCAGAGATAAAATATTCAGCGATTCACTCTAAATTGTAATAATACATCTGTAACAATTTATATGAAAACAGCATTTTTTTACAGTACATTTTTTGAAGCGTAATTCAAACACAAAGCCATTGTTCATAAGTCAGTGATAAAGGTCAGGTAAACAAAACAAAGGCCAACGTGGCTAGTCTGTATTTTAAGTTGAGCTAAGGATAGCTACACTTGTCCAGAACATGCAGTGTATACATGTAAGTTTTAAGTATTTGTTTTATTACTTGTACCTTGTGTTGCCTGTACATACCTGATTCTTGTTAAGTAACCTGTACATTGTTGATACTTGTTATGTTACCTGTACATTGTCGATACTTGTTATGTTACTGTTGATACTTGTTATGTTACTTGTACATTGTTGATACTTGGTATGTTACCTGTACATTTTTGATACTTGTTATGTGACCGGTACAATTTTGATATATATACTTGGAATGGTACCTGTACATTGTTGAGACTTGTTATGTTACCTGTACATATACTTGTTATGTAACATGTACATAGTTGATACTTGTTATGTTGCCTGTACATTGTTGATAGATATATATACTTGTTATGTTACCTGTACATTGTTGATACTTGTTATGTGACTGGTACAATGTTGATATATATACTTGTTATGTAACCTGTACATAGTTGATACTTGTTATGTTACCTGTACATTGTTGATACTTGTTATGTTACCTGGACATTGTTGATACTTGTTATGCTACCTGTACATTGTCGATACTAGTTATGTTACCTGTACATTGTTTATACTTGTTATGTTACCTGTTCATTGTTGATACTTGTTATGTCACCTGTACATTGTTGATACTTGTTTTGTTACCTGTACATTGTTGATACTTGTTATGTTACCTGTACATTGTCGATACTTGTTATGTTACCTCTACAATGTTGATACTTGTTATGTTTTGTTCATTGTTGATACTTGTTATGTTACCTGTAAATAGTTGATACTTGTTATGTTCCTGTACAATGTTGATATATATACTTGTTCTGTTACCTGTAAATAGTTGATACTTGTTATGTGATCTGTACATTGTTGATACTTGTTATGTTACCTGTAAATAGTTGATACTTGTTATGTGACCTGTAAATAGTTGATACTTGTTATGTTACCTGTACATTGTTGATACTTGTTATGTTACCTGTATATTGTTGATACTTGTTATGTTTTGTTCATTGTTGATACTTGTTATGTTACCTGTACATTGTTGATACTTGTTATGTTACCTGTAAATAGTTGATACTTGTTATGTTACCTGTACAATGTTGATATATATACTTGTAATGTTACCTGTACATTGTTGATACTTGTTATGTTACCTGTACATTGTTGATACTTGTTATGTTACCTGTACATTGTTGATACTTGTTATGTTACCTGTACATTGTTGATACTTGTTATGTTACCTGTACATTGTTGATACTTGTTATGTTACCTGTACATTGTTGATACTTGTTATGTTACCTGTACATTGTTGATACTTGTTATGTTACCTGTACATTGTTGATACTTGTTATGTTACCTGTACATTGTTGATACTTGTTATGTTACCTGTACATTGTTGATACTTGTTATGTTTTGTTCGTTGTTGATACTTGTTATGTTACCTGTACATTGTTGATACTTGTTATGTTACCTGTACATTGTTGATACTTGTTATGTTACCTGTACATTGTTGATACTTGTTATGTTACCTGTACATTGTTGATACTTGTTATGTTACCTGTACATTGTTGATACTTGTTATGTTACCTGTACATTGTTGATACTTGTTATGTTACCTGTACATTGTTGATACTTGTTATGTTACCTGTACATTGTTGATACTTGTTATGTTACCTGTACATTGTTGATACTTGTTATGTTTTGTTCGTTGTTGATACTTGTTATGTTACCTGTACATTGTTGATACTTGTTATGTTACCTGTACATTGTTGATACTTGTTATGTTACCTGTACATTGTTGATACTTGTTATGTTACCTGTACATTGTTGATACTTGTTATGTTACCTGTACATTGTTGATACTTGTTATGTTACCTGTACATTGTTGATACTTGTTATGTTACCTGTACATTGTTGATACTTGTTATGTTACCTGTACATTGTTGATACTTGTTATGTTACCTGTACATTGTTGATACTTGTTATGTTACCTGTACATTGTTGATACTTGTTATGTTACCTGTACATTGTTGATACTTGTTATGTTACCTGTACATTGTTGATACTTGTTATGTTACCTGTACATTGTTGATACTTGTTATGTTACCTGTACATTGTTGATACTTGTTATGTTACCTGTACATTGTTGATACTTGTTATGTTACCTGTACATTGTTGATACTTGTTATGTTACCTGTACATTGTTGATACTTGTTATGTTACCTGTACATTGTTGATACTTGTTATGTTTTGTTCGTTGTTGATACTTGTTATGTTACCTGTACATTGTTGATACTTGTTATGTTACCTGTACATTGTTGATACTTGTTATGTTACCTGTACATTGTTGATACTTGTTATGTTACCTGTACATTGTTGATACTTGTTATGTTACCTGTACATTGTTGATACTTGTTATGTTACCTGTACATTGTTGATACTTGTTATGTTACCTGTACATTGTTGATACTTGTTATGTTACCTGTACATTGTTGATACTTGTTATGTTACCTGTACATTGTTGATACTTGTTATGTTACCTGTACATTGTTGATACTTGTTATGTTACCTGTACATTGTTGATACTTGTTATGTTACCTGTACATTGTTGATACTTGTTATGTTACCTGTACATTGTTGATACTTGTTATGTTACCTGTACATTGTTGATACTTGTTATGTTACCTGTACATTGTTGATACTTGTTATGTTACCTGTACATTGTTGATACTTGTTATGTTACCTGTACATTGTTGATACTTGTTATGTTACCTGTACATTGTTGATACTTGTTATGTTACCTGTACATTGTTGATACTTGTTATGTTTTGTTCGTTGTTGATACTTGTTATGTTACCTGTACATTGTTGATACTTGTTATGTTACCTGTACATTGTTGATACTTGTTATGTTACCTGTACATTGTTGATACTTGTTATGTTACCTGTACATTGTTGATACTTGTTATGTTACCTGTACATTGTTGATACTTGTTATGTTACCTGTACATTGTTGATACTTGTTATGTTACCTGTACATTGTTGATACTTGTTATGTTACCTGTACATTGTTGATACTTGTTATGTTACCTGTACATTGTTGATACTTGTTATGTTTTGTTCGTTGTTGATACTTGTTATGTTACCTGTACATTGTTGATACTTGTTATGTTACCTGTACATTGTTGATACTTGTTATGTTACCTGTACATTGTTGATACTTGTTATGTTACCTGTACATTGTTGATACTTGTTATGTTACCTGTACATTGTTGATACTTGTTATGTTACCTGTACATTGTTGATACTTGTTATGTTACCTGTACATTGTTGATACTTGTTATGTTACCTGTACATTGTTGATACTTGTTATGTTACCTGTACATTGTTGATACTTGTTATGTTACCTGTACATTGTTGATACTTGTTATGTTACCTGTACATTGTTGATACTTGTTATGTTACCTGTACATTGTTGATACTTGTTATGTTACCTGTACATTGTTGATACTTGTTATGTTACCTGTACATTGTTGATACTTGTTATGTTACCTGTACATTGTTGATACTTGTTATGTTACCTGTACATTGTTGATACTTGTTATGTTACCTGTACATTGTTGATACTTGTTATGTTACCTGTACATTGTTGATACTTGTTATGTTACCTGTACATTGTTGATACTTGTTATGTTACCTGTACATTGTTGATACTTGTTATGTTACCTGTACATTGTTGATACTTGTTATGTTACCTGTACATTGTTGATACTTGTTATGTTACCTGTACATTGTTGATACTTGTTATGTTACCTGTACATTGTTGATACTTGTTATGTTACCTGTACATTGTTGATACTTGTTATGTTACCTGTACATTGTTGATACTTGTTATGTTACCTGTACATTGTTGATACTTGTTATGTTACCTGTACATTGTTGATACTTGTTATGTTACCTGTACATTGTTGATACTTGTTATGTTACCTGTACATTGTTGATACTTGTTATGTTACCTGTACATTGTTGATACTTGTTATGTTACCTGTACATTGTTGATACTTGTTATGTTACCTGTACATTGTTGATACTTGTTATGTTACCTGTACATTGTTGATACTTGTTATGTTACCTGTACATTGTTGATACTTGTTATGTTACCTGTACATTGTTGATACTTGTTATGTTACCTGTACATTGTTGATACTTGTTATGTTACCTGTACATTGTTGATACTTGTTATGTTTTGTTCGTTGTTGATACTTGTTATGTTACCTGTACATTGTTGATACTTGTTATGTTACCTGTACATTGTTGATACTTGTTATGTTACCTGTACATTGTTGATACTTGTTATGTTACCTGTACATTGTTGATACTTGTTATGTTACCTGTACATTGTTGATACTTGTTATGTTACCTGTACATTGTTGATACTTGTTATGTTACCTGTACATTGTTGATACTTGTTATGTTACCTGTACATTGTTGATACTTGTTATGTTACCTGTACATTGTTGATACTTGTTATGTTACCTGTACATTGTTGATACTTGTTATGTTTTGTTCGTTGTTGATACTTGTTATGTTACCTGTACATTGTTGATACTTGTTATGTTACCTGTACATTGTTGATACTTGTTATGTTACCTGTACATTGTTGATACTTGTTATGTTACCTATACATTGTTGATACTTGTTATGTTACCTATACATTGTTGATACTTGTTATGTTACCTATACATTGATGATACTTGTTATGTTACCTGTACAATGTTGATACTTGTTATGCTACCAGTATAATGTTGATACTTGTTATGTTACCAGTATAATGTTGATACTTGTTATGTTACCTGTACACAGTTTGCATTCTGAAAGTCACTGGTTGACACAGATATGGCTTCGAGGAGGTCATCGCTGAGGGAGGTCTGTCTCTGTCTGGTCAACACATTGTCTGCATTAAAAGTCATTGACATAGAATTATAACCAGTCTTACAGACATACAGTATAACAGGTCTTACTGACATACAGTATAACCAGTCTTACTGACATACAATATAACAGGTCTTACTGACATACAGTATCACCAGTCTAACTGACATACAGTATAACAGGTCTTACTGACATACGGTATCACCAGTCTAACTGACATACAGTAAAACAGGTCTTACTGACATACAGTATAACCAGTCTAACTGACATACAGTATAACAGGTCTTAGTGATATACAGTATAACCAGTCTAACTGACATACAGTATAACAGGTCTAACTGACATACAGTATAACAGGTCTTAGTGATATACCATATAACAAGTCTTACTGACATACATTATAACAAGTCTTACTGACATACATTATAACCAGTCTTACCGACATACAGTATAACAAGTCTTACTGACATACAGTATAACCAGTCTTACTGACATACATTATAACCAGTCTTACTGACTACATTATAACCAGTCTTACTAACATACAGTATAACCAGTCTTACTGACATACAGTATAACAAGTCTCTCTGACATACAGTATAACCAGTCTAACTGACATACAGTATAACAGGTCTTAGTGATATACCATATAACAAGTCTTACTGACATACATTATAACAAGTCTTACTGACATACATTATAACCAGTCTTACCGACATACAGTATAACAAGTCTTACTGACATACAGTATAACCAGTCTAACTGACATACATTATAACAAGTCTTACTGACATACAGTATAACAAGTCTCTCTGACATACATTATAACAAGGCTTACTGACATACAGTATAACCAGTCTAACTGACATACATTATAACAAGTCTTACTGACATACAGTATAACCAGTCTAACTGACATACAGTATAACAAGTCTAACTGACATACATTATAACCAGTCTTACTGACTACATTATAACCAGTCTTACTAACATACAGTATAACCAGTCTTACTGACATACAGTATAACCAGTCTTACAGACATACAGTATAACAAGTCTTACTGACATACAGTATAACCAGTCTTACTGACATACATTATAACCAGTCTTACTGACTACATTATAACCAGTCTTACTAACATACAGTATAACCAGTCTTACTGACATACAGTATAACCAGTCTTACTGACATACAATATAACAGGTCTTACTGACATACAGTATCACCAGTCTAACTGACATACAGTATAACAGGTCTTACTGACATACGGTATCACCAGTCTAACTGACATACAGTAAAACAGGTCTTACTGACATACAGTATAACCAGTCTAACTGACATACAGTATAACAGGTCTTAGTGATATACAGTATAACCAGTCTAACTGACATACAGTATAACAGGTCTAACTGACATACAGTATAACAGGTCTTAGTGATATACCATATAACAAGTCTTACTGACATACATTATAACAAGTCTTACTGACATACATTATAACCAGTCTTACTGACATACAGTATAACCAGTCTTACAGACATACATTATAACAAGTCTTACTGACATACAGTATAACCAGTCTTACTGACATACATTATAACCAGTCTTACTGACTACATTATAACCAGTCTTACTAACATACAGTATAACCAGTCTTACTGACATACAGTATAACCAGTCTTACTGACATACAATATAACAGGTCTTACTGACATACAGTATCACCAGTCTAACTGACATACAGTATAACAGGTCTTACTGACATACGGTATCACCAGTCTCTAACTGACATACATTATAACATCTTACTGACATACAGTATAACCAGTCTAACTGACATACAGTATAACAGGTCTAACTGACATACAGTATAACAGGTCTTAGTGATATACAGTATAACCAGTCTAACTGACATACAGTATAACAGGTCTAACTGACATACAGTATAACAGGTCTTAGTGATATACCATATAACAAGTCTTACTGACATACATTATAACAAGTCTTACTGACATACAGTATAACAAGTCTTACTGACATACAGTATAACAAGTCTTACTGAAATACAGTATAACAAGTCTTACTGACCTACAGAATAACAAGTCTTACTGACATACAGTATAACAAGTCTTACTGACCTACAGTATAACAAGTCTTACTGACATACAGTATAACCAGTCTTACTGACGTACATTATAACCAGTCTTACTGACTACATTATAACCAGTCTTACTAACATACAGTATAACCAGTCTTACTGACATACAGTATAACCAGTCTTACTGACATACATTATAACAAGTCTTACTGACATACAGTATAACAAGTCTTACTGAAATACAGTATAACAAGTCTTACTGACCTACAGTATAACAAGTCTTACTGACATACAGTATAACCAGTCTTACTGACATACAGTATAACAAGTCTCTCTGACATACAGTATAAACAAGTCTTACTAATATACAGTAATACAAGTCTTACTGACATACAGTATAACAAGTCTTACTGACATACAGTATAACAAGTCTTACTGACAAGGTATAAACAAGTAATGTAGTGACAAAACATACTATAGGCCTAAGAAACTTGTTCTGAAATCTGTTATGATTTGTTGCTGTAATACTGTGCCATATTTCACTGCAGTAACATGAACACTGGTGGTACCAGGTACAATGTATAATGATACTTTTATTTTTGTTATATTGGCAGTATGCATTGCTATACTTAATTTCTATAATGCTGGTGGAGTTTTTGCTACAGTTAATGTTCAACCTTAGGAAGTTTAATCCTGTTGAGATGTATTGACAGTAATTTGAATCAATGATCTGAATGAAATGATCATGAATTTAAGATAAATTGATATTAATTATCCTGTTCCCAAATGTACATATAACCATGATGAAAATTAAGAACATTCAATAAACTTCAGATAAATATAGCTAAGCTAATATCTTATCTGTTGGATACAGAAATATATCCGCTACAAACTGTACCTGTTTGTTTTCCAGAAAGATTGGAGGCAAGTTGAAACATCCATTCACAAATATCCAGACTGTAATAAAAAAAATAAAAAATTGAAAAAGTCGCCCTGTCAGCAATTCATGTTGTAATACATCTGACATTATACAATACTGGAGGCTTTTCAATAAGAAATATATGTTATAGTAATAAGTTAGATTTATCTCATCTCTCGAGATTGTACTGATCACATTATGACAAAAGACTGACACAATATATACATGTACAATACCTTGTGATTTCTCCAAACCCAGGGACATAGGCGTCCATCATCTCTATAAACTGGTCCACATCTATGTTCTCCTCAGCATCCTCCCCACTCCCAAGTTCCTCCAAAATGGTTATCACATAGTCCAGTACCACATCATCAATATCCCTACGAGTAAACAAAACATCCTCATCTCTACCAAGCTATGGAACAACTCTCATTTTACAAACTATTTTCATTGGCAGGTTCCAAATATGCCCTAATGGGCAAGCTGTGATCAGGGTTCTGATGGCAGTCAATAGGCTTAGTTATCAAGTTAAAACATTATATTTGTTATAAATATAATAATGCTGATGTTCGTTATAATAAAATATTTGTCCATTTTCATGACAGAGCTGTTTGACGAATACACTTGGAATTTCTGTTAAATTCCCTATACTAAATATCATGGTAATTTAGTGTATCTTAATAAAAAATCAACATTTAAATTAGCTCTCTGGTTTTCTATTTTTCATTTACTACATCAGTGATACCACAAGCTTGTTTATGATTTTGTGTTACTTACAGCATGCTGTAGTCTAAGCCATGCATCACTAGGAATGTATGTAGTTCATCCTGTACAACTGTTCTCCTGGTTGTAGCCATGCAAAATTAGGTTGATTTTTTCCACAGGTTAAACAAGAATATCAAATTATGATTCCACAGATCTTGCAACTGCAACATAAAAAAAAAGTCATATACGGCCATTATTTAATAAATGTATGCAATTACATACAGACGATCTTATGTTATTTGTTTTTAAAAATGCCCATGGATTTTAAATAAAATTCATCTGATCTTATTCAAGTTATTGTTTTGGTGCTGTTGACAGGGTGCTGTTGACAGGTTGAGACCTTTTTACGAAGGAAATAATATCGTCTTTTTCAGAAGGCTTATCGTTTTAATGACCATTTGTCTAATATACTTCTTATATTAAACTTTCGCAGATAGCCAAGCTTCGCGTTCATAATGTATTCACCGTGATTATTTATCGGGTTTTGTGCGTCATTCAAAAGGCTCAAGAGACAACTAATTAACGGTCGTCAAAATGTGAACTACAGTACTTTATCAGAAAAGTTATCGGTGCAATATCTAAGTCAATACCATGATTGTCTCTCATATATGCAAGTAATGCAAACAAATATTGGCAATATCGTCTCAATAACGCTATATTCGTGCAATATGTAAATAATTGCCCCTACTTTTGTTTTGCTCCAAGAGGGTTGTTTACACCGGAAGATTAACTGTACAGTGTAAATTTGAAACGAAAACACAGCTGTTCCGGATTAGAGAGTGGGCAACCCGTGAAAATAATTCAATTTGAAAAAAAGGTACGTTATAGAATATTCACCATTATTGAAATCATAAATAAAATAATTATAAAAAAAAATCATTTCTTTCTTTAAGCGTTTGGAGAATATCAAGGTAGCAAGTCACAGGGACATGAGAATTTGCTACAGCTAGACAGAGACGTATATAACAGTTTTATACGTCTCTGAGCTAGACCTAAACCACGGAATTGGATTTAAGTCCGTGCCTAAACTGAGTATTTCTTTCTCTTTTGTTTTATAAGGTTGAGAGGGGTCTTAGTAGGTTCAACATCTATCTGCCAATATCCTGGACAGAGGTCAAACTATGGAAATCCATTTATTTTCTGATAACTTGTCAATGGAATGATCGATTCTAACACGTCACTGTGAGTTATACGACGGCATATTTTCTCACCCAGTTACCCTGAAATCGTCCATGGTTCAATGATATTCTTTTCGATCTCACTTAAACGATCTGGGCTTGTATATATATATGTAGCTAGATGATGTTTTGACTACCGCTCTCTTTCGCGGCGTGTCTTTACCTAATCTGTGTGATCAAGATCGAGATTTGAAGTTGCAAACATATATGACTTTTTGCCATTTATTTTCTAAAGAATGTTATTGCAATTCGGCGTGTAGCGGTCATACATGACTGGTTTAAGGCGTTTTCATTGCACGGCCTGCAAGGTTCGGTGCTCCCTTCAACAGTGTGGTGAATTTGGGTTAGAGTTATCTCCCTTAGACCGATAACCGCGCCGACAACCTGGATGTGACATCTCGGCGCGGTCTCTTAATATCTTGAACTACAACATACAACACGTGAGTGATTTTCCTCCACCTTGTTACTTGATTTGCGGAGCTGAGAGCAGTTACAACTACTTGTTGTGACGGTGTGTGTAATTCACGACAACATTCCAATATATGTTACAGGTCTGTGTCTGGAGCGTACATGGCACACACTGAGAGCATTGGAGCGCAATTCACGAGAGTTCTGGCCACAAGATATCTCTCTGATTTTAGAAAGCTCTTTGAGGTTTTAATAATCGTAGTCCCTCCTATACGTACGCCCCCGGTTCTGTTAATTGTCTATGAGGTATAGACTCCGAGAAAGACGGAATGAATACAGAATCTACAACTGTACGATTTCATAACATCCCAAAGGTCCAAAAGACTAAAAGAACTGCTGTTAACCAGAAAACGTTAATTTCCTTTGCATCGTTCATAGCTGCGCCATGTAATCTCAAGAAGTCAATCCAAGGATTTCACTCCCCGTATTGATGTCTTAAACTATGATTTCTAGCGACATTGCCGATTGCTAGAACACACGTTGCTTTTCCAAGCAACACATGTTTCCCACCATCGGCGTCAGTAACCATATATGTACAGGGCTTTAACTATGTCTGCAACTGTTTAGAAAGGGGAGATTATTGCTCGTCAAAAGAAATACTTACGGTAATCAAAGTTTTTGTTCAAACTCGAAGTTGGTTAAATTTAGTAAAATATGAAAAAGGAAAGATTCAAAACGAGATCTTTGATAAAGCACTAACAGAATAAGACGAATCGTAAAGGATATCAATGACAAAGATAAAAATAAACGATGATATCCAAGTCGCCAACAAAATCGAATGTCCTGCAATGAGATCATGACGGTAAATTATAACATTTATCCATAGTCTCAAAGCCATGTTGTAAGTTTGTCCGTCACAGTTTGTATCTTGTGACTAAATAAACACTTTGTGTGGTGGGAACTAGAAATGTTACTTATAAGAAAAGGAAAAAGTAAAAAACATCATTGTTAATAGTTCATCAGATTTTTTATTATCTTGTTTGTTTTCAAACTCTCAATTTTACTATTCCAAAATGACATTTATTACACCTCCTGATTAGCGTGAATTGTCAGGTGTTTCCTGATAAAAAATATACTGACCGGCTTAAAAAAAGCTGGTAAAAAATATAATTTCTTTCGGTTGAGTCCGCGAATTAGAACGAAATTGCTTTCTCCTACGGGAATGCGTGCCACTAGGTGGCGCTAGTCGCAGTCGACGATGCACGTGCAAGTGAAGTCCTGGGTCATTTAGGCGACCACGTTAGACACGTCAACACCTCCAGTCGTAAGATCGAGTTTTAGTAAATTTATTTTTACAGAATTTGCTTAAAAACTTTTTTTTTTTTACGAACGGGCGTGTAACATCGAGTGCTGAGGTAGTCTCCGCGGGAAAGGCATTATATATCGATTTCATGTTACCTACTGTTCTATGTGTAGTTATTACAGCAAGTGCTGTATTTTAAACAGTGATTGTAATGGTTGGACATGCAATTTGGTGCAGAGCACTGTGGTCCAGACCGGCTGTTTATTGTTTGTTAGTCAAGTCTCACGAGGTCTGCTTATTGGATGAACGATGTCAGTGTGTGAATTTGAAATGTTTTGAGATGAAGTTTGTAAAATAAACTCAGTACGCGGCGTGGTCGCCCCGGTGCAATTTATAGATGAGTTGTTATTTTTGAGTTATTGGCACACATGGTGATTGTAGGAGAAGGTGGTTAACTGTGTGCTTCTAAAAATAGATCGACAAGCGTCAAACATTTTGCAATCAATTAAAAAAAATAGACAAGTAATTCACTTGAAAATTTGAAATTTCTAGATTGAAAAATTGGGTGTATTTCAGATGTTGTGTATCGAAGCATTTTGATTTTTTGCTGCTTCAAGATAAATAATACAACGACTTCAGTGTGTTGCTTTCTTTATTGCAGTTTACACAGTCAATTCCTTGTTAAAAAAAATCATTCTTTCATAAATTATTAAATCCTTCTCTTTTTATCGACCTAAGGCAAAATATCGACCTCGGACTTTGTCCCCGGTTTTTTTTTCATGTAGATAAAACCATCGTCTACTGTTAATATTTTTTCAACTTGATGAAACTATGTATCTACCTCATCAAACGACTTTAATTGTATATTACATCTATACAAGCACATACAAACACATACAAACAAAGCTACAGACACATACAAACACATACAAGCACATACAAACAAAGATACAGACATGCCACTGTTTCGATACACTTGTGAATATGCATAAATTGATTATTTACAAGTAATACACTAAGATGTGTAAATATACATGTACATTAATTTATGTTAACAAAAGCTGTTCAAAACAGCAAACTCGAAGAATTTTCCAGAATCGGGTAACACAAAAAACATTGTGCAACAACATTTGACCTCTGGGAAAACCTCTATACATAATAAAAGCTTCCTGGTTTGAAAACTGAATGCGACGACGGATTCCTTAACTTTTTGTCAAAAACAGGCTCAAAACAATAACAATAAGTATGGTGGATTGACATGTGGTATTTAACACCGTCCAATCTGCTAACATTATGTTTTTTTTTATGCGGTATTTATTGGTGGTATGATATTAAATCGACTATTTGATTAGTGATAACAAACTTGATCATTTCACGAGTATACAAGAAAAATAGCTTTATAGGAAGCAGAATTTCACACTCGGTACCAGAGGTATAATTGTCAAAACCAAAACATAACCGTGTTTCTTCTATCGATTAGGTGAATTTTACTGTAAATGTACAACAGGTTTTAGAGAAAAAATCTTAAACTCATAACTATTTTCCTTGTTTTTGGAAATTTGTTTTTGATTTAGTAGCTATGGTTTACACAAATGTGTTATCTGAAGAAAATGTGTGGTGACTTAATTTCTACATTTTAATACTAGCAATTTTGAATAATTTATAAAACATGTATGTTCGTTGTGCAAGTTGAGCCTGCTGTGTTTAGTTTAAACATATTTATTGTCAAAAGTAGACAAGGGATTAGGCACAAGTTATAACAACTTATCAACGCCTTCTCCCAATATACATTTTAAATGACATTACAATAATACCAATTAGTACATCCAATTGTTATCACAATTTGAGCTCAAAATCTCTTGCTGGATTTAATAAAATTGTGCACATATCTAAAAATGTTAGTGTTAAGGTCCACGGAAAATTGTAAATTGCCAAGCAAAGTTATTTTTAAATTTAACACAGCATTCGAATTATTTAAATTTTGAACAAATACGTCTTTTGATTGTAAAAAGGTGAGATTCCAAACATAGTAAAAGACATTATCACAAAGATGTTAACTTAACTATATAAACTGATTGAATAATTGCATATCAATGTATTTTTTTTTTAAATGTACATTTAAAGCAAAGTTATTTTTAAATTTAACACAGCATTCAAATTATTTAAATTTTGAACAAAAATACGTCTTTTGATTGTAAAAAGGTGAGATTCCAAACATAGTAAAAGACATTATCACAAAGATGACCACAGTAACAAGATGCACTCTCAACAAGGTTAACTCTAAAGAGGTCATACTTAAAGGAACTGCACTTGTGTCTGAGCTTAGTATGCAAGATATTAAGTTTACAATTTCCGAATTTAAAGTCAATAGGTGGACTTGACTGACTATTTGATGTTAAACAGGATTTGAATAAATTTATAGAGGGCAAGGATCGAACCGAATTTTCCAAATTATTCCAACAATGAAGAGAAGAAGGTATAAAAGAAGAGTTCGTAAGAGACAGACTGAAAGGAGGAATCCTATAGTTATTATTGTTACGTAAAGCGTAACGATTATTTTCTCCAGATAAAGGCGGCAAAAGATGATTGAAGTAATCAGGAGTTATTTTTTTTTGCATCTTATACAACAGTTGAAGTTTCCCCCGTTTTCTGCGATTGGATCAAGTTTCAGGACTAGTTTCGAAATATCAGGTATTAATAGGGGTATAAGGTGGAAGTCCTAATATAATGCGACCAAGTATTAATAGGGGTATAAGGTGGAAGTCCTAATATAATGCGACCAAGTATTAATAGGGGTATAAGGTGGAAGTCCTAATATAATGCGACCAAGTATTAATAGGGGTATAAGGTGGAAGTCCTAATATAATGCGACCAAGTATTAATAGGGGTATAAGGTGGAAGTCCTAATATAATGCGACCAAGTATTAATAGGGGTATAAGGTGGAAGTCCTAATATAATGCGACCAAGTATTAATAGGGGTATAAGGTGGAAGTCCTAATATAATGCGACCAAGTATTAATAGGGGTATAAGGTGGAAGTCCTAATATAATGCGACCAAGTATCAAGGCTATCTATATCTCTATTTAAAGTTTCTTGAATTTCTAGACAGGAGTTTTTTCCTAGACATATCCTTTATTTTAAGGATCATACACTAGATGTGTTACGACTGAAAACAAGTATGTTCAGATTATTTTATTTCAGTCGGTGTAAATGACGTCACAGAGGGTGAGTTGTGACGCCAAGGTTCCAACAAGCATGCGCTCATTGTAGATAGAAGCCACGGTGGAGCCCGCCATTTTTGTGCCAGGATCGAGGTATACCTCCACTACGTCTGTAAAATGGCCACCAGAGGTCGCCAACTTCAGGACCTAGGACAACAGATAGACTGTAGCAGGTTATGCTATTCTGTGCAAGTCAAGCGTACATGTTACATGTATTTATTTACATCATCTCTGTCGGCTTGTTCTCGTTTCCCCCACTTTTTAAAATAACATGGGGGGAATAATGTTGTTAGAAGGATTTTAGTCTGTTTCTAAATACAATTTAATCTTTTCGGGAATTGAGGAGAAAGTGTGGGCCCAGAATGATAACGCCGAAAACTGCGAAGAAACTGTAAAGAAATTTATAAATGAAAAATTGAAAGTTGAGGGTGCACATGCTATCCCGATGGCCAATGTGCATCGAATTGGAAAAACGGGAAGTACCAGGGAAGGTAGACCACGGTCTATTATTGCAAAGTTTGTGCACTACGGTGATTTGGTAAACGTTAAAAAAAGTGCGGCGAAACTGAAGGGAACAAACTACGGAATTAACGAACAATATCCAAAAGAAATAGAAGACGTCAGAAAAAAACTCTATCCGATACAAAAACGTGCAAGAAAAGAAGGGAAAAAAACTGTTCTGGTCAGAGACAAATTATTTATTGACGGGCAATTGTACGCGAACCCCGTGACCCCGAACTCTACTTCGTACACACCGAGTAAACAAACCAGAAAGCGTCGACGAGAACACTCTGATGTCTCACACTAGGAATGCGCCGGAGGGCAAACCCGAGCAGACAGCACGCGTTCTGAATACTTAACCAGAAGTGTAATTACCGACTCTGTTTTGGACTCGTGTACAGTTTATAATACCAAAATATTGGTTTTAAATGTTGGTGGTATTCTGAAAAAAATGCAATACCCAGACTTTATTGATTTTGTAAATAGTTTTGATATATTATGTCTAAGCGAGACAAAAACTGACGACTTAGATGTTATTGATTTACCTGGTTTTGTAATTAAAATGAAGAATCGTTTTCAATTTAGAAAAACGAAAGCTGGCGGAATAACACTGGCTTTTAAGTGTGGTTTAGAAAACTGTATAAATACTTTAGAAAGTGACAGCAAGTATGTAAGCTGGTTTAAGGTTAATGGTAACGTCTGCCATTGTGATGAAGATTTGCTGTTTGGTATAGTGTATATACCACCTGAAAATTCTAAATACCATTTAG